GGGGCGGGGCCGGCCCGGCCCCCCGCCCCGCATCACTGTCTCCAGGGGAACTCGCCAGCCAATCCCCGCCCGCAAACTTTCGCCGGCTCTCGACGGGCGTCTCTCTCCCCTCCCTCCTCTTCCCTCCACGGAACTTTTAAAACTTTGATGAACTCGCCCGATTGAACTTTCTTAAAGGGGCCGCCGGGCTTTTCCCGGGCCTTGGTCGCCCGCAGCAGGGTTCCCAGGCTCCGGGTTGGGGACGGGCTTGGGTGGGCAGGGCCGGAAAGGTCCGTCCTGGGCATGCAGCGGAGGCGCGCTCTGCGGGGGAATCCAGCGGGACAGGCGCAGGAAAAAAGTCCTGGCTTGGATCGGCCAGGCGAGCCCGACCGGATCCCCGGGGAGCTCAGCAGGGTCGGCCCTGGTTTGGGACTTGGAGCCCACCGAGGGCGTCCAGGGCTGCTCCGCAGAGGCAAGCGATGGCAAACCTGCATGTCTCCAGACGGCGCTTTTACGCGCGCGCACAGGCAAGGGTGGGGCGGGGGAGCTTCCGAACTGGCCGGGCGCGGAGAGAGAGGGAGCATCGAAAGCAACCCGGCGCCAAAAGCAGGGGGTGGTCGCCCACCCCGGATTCCAAAGTTCTCCTGCAGGTTGGGTGGCGACGGTTTGCGCGCTCCGGAGCCAAAGCCGCAACTGGGGAGGGGGGGATCCGGACTGAGGTGCTCCTCTCTGGTTAGCCCGCCGAGACCCCGATCCCGGGTGGCGCTCATTCCACCGCGCCTTGTTTCGTTTCGTCCCCCCCCCCCCAAAGAAAATCCGAATTCGGTATTGGGCGCTGGAAACGAACTATCCAAGCACTGGATAACTTGACGCCCCGTTTACAAGGCTGGTTCCGGGGCGGGGGGGAGCGGAAGCGAACGGGGCTTTCCTGTGAAAACGCGACCAGTTCGAGAAAAGGGGGGGGGGAGGTTTTGACAGCCGGCAAGCGATACGCGTCTTGGGTTCGTCCCCCCCCTCTCCCCGAATAAAGCGGTGCCGTCGGGCCTCACAGGAGCCGAACGAAGCGGGGCGGCGCCCCCCTCCCCCGCACCTGTACCACTGCTGGCTGCACGTCTGAACGCTCCTCCACGTGTGTGTGTGTGGGAAAATCTCTGCACAACGAAAACAGGACTCAGGGATCCTGCCCCGACGTGCGGTCTGTCTTTCCAGAAGCCGCCTCATTTCCCCGAAGCTCAGGGATGGGTGTACAACCCACACACACGCAGGACGGGGAGAGCTTTCCAAAAGACATCGCGCATACATGTTGCCCGCGAGAGTCCCATTTCCGGAAATATTTTCTCACGGCTTTTTCTGCGGGCGGCGTAACTCGCTTCCCCTCCTTCCTGCTTAGCGAGACAGGCGGATTGAGAGGAGGGTGTTGGGAAAGGGGCTTCACACGTGCCCAGAGGCCCTCTCTTCTCACCCCAGGGTTTCGATACATGGTCCGCACTTAAAATCCTGCAGCGCTCGGGGAAAAGGAGCAGAGACGTCGGACTTCAGTGCTCCCTCTAAACTGTGGAGTCTTGTGAGCAAAAAATCTGCTTTGTGAGCTCCTGGCATTGAAGTTGTGAGCAAGCAATTTGGCTACTGCATAAAGTAGTTTGCTCTGGAGCCCTCCTTCCTGAGCGGAGACAAAAATGTGTGAGCCGGAGGCTAAAAAACGGTGAGCTAGCTCACACTAACTCAACTTAGAGGGGACACTGCTTCCAAGTCCGGGGATGGATTGAACGCCTAGGAGGGGACGGGCCGTCGTGGGGGGCGATGTGGGTGGGATGTCTGATCTCCTCAGTGCCGGAAACCATTGTTTGAGGGG